GGGTGTGAGGAAGTGTGTCAGCCTGCTGGTGCTGAGCATCACCTTGGAGTCGTAGCTGTACCCGCTGTCAGGGGTGGAGGCCAGGGTCTCCGGCGGGGAGCAGCGCACGGAGCCGGAGGAGGAGGAGGGGGTGCAGGTGGCTGCACTGCAGCACAGGATCAGGTAGTTCCTCCAGAGGCCGATGTAGGAGTCGCTGCTGCTCGTGGCGTTCACCTTCTTGGCGTTGATCGGGCTGCTGGGGAGAGAGCCGGCACAGCACTGCTCAGATTGCTGCATCAGGCGCACAGCTCCTGCAATAACACTTCACCTCCTGTCCTCAGACAGGCACCAGTCTGATGTCTTATCAAACCTTCCTTTACAGGAGTAAAGTTCACAACTTAATAACCACCTCGGAAGAGGGAAACACAGCAGCTCATGTGTGTTCCCCAGAGGCACTTCTCGCCGACATTGAGGAGGAGAGGAGAAGCCGAGTTTACTCCACACTGGGGGTGCAGAACCAGCACAGGGTGCCATTCAACTGCTTCTTTCAGCGGAGCTCGTGCAAGCTGCAGTGCCGTCAGCACTCCAAGTTATTTAAAGAACTTTTTATAGGTCGACTCTGCTGGTGCCACCTGAACACCCAGCTGGCTCAAGACTCTTTAAAAAAAAAGACTGTTATTTAATCATGCATTTAATTTAATTGTCATTTAAGATTGCCATTTGATTGACTTGAAAATTTATCGGGAGATGAATTTGTGGAAGATGACAAGAAGACTGTGATGACCGGACGTGGCCAGTGATAGCCAGCTACTGCCAGTAAGAACAGTTAACAAAGGAGGGGAGGCCGCATGTCCCTTCCAGCCCGCTTGGCAGTAAGTAGATCACTGATCTGAGGCCTTCATGGGCCACATGTTGCTGACTCCCATAAGCCAGAAGTATTCCAGAACTTTAGCACATGTTTCCCCATCCGCTGGGGGAGGCAGCACTTACACTTTCTCTCCTGTCTAGAGGTCAAACATGAGCATGCAGCATTAGGACTTGCATGCATTATTAGGCAAGATCAATTTACTGGCCATATACAATTTCTTGTATGAGGAATTCGTCTTTCCGCATACCCCAGCTTGCTCACCATATGAACGAATGGTTATAATGGTTATGAATGGTAATGAATGTGTGTATTCCTTTATGAGAAGAAATTACTTTTTTGGCAGAGTAAAATGGGATGAAACAGATCGTGAACCATCGCTCCTTTAGTTTCATGTCTGCAAACCAGCACCATGAGCTGTCTGAAGGGGTCGCGCACATGGGCGAAACGTCACGCCGACGTGCCCAGGTCACCGCTCTGCTGTGACGGCTGTCATGGCGGCGCTGCCCTCGACCACAAAGCGCCAGAGAGCGGGAGGACTTACTTGATGTCCACCTGTGGGGAGAGCAGCTGCAGGCGGGTGTAGGCGAACATCCAGGCGTAGCTGAGGGCGGTGGGGCAGTGCTTGGGCAGGTGCTCCTGCTTCAGGTAGCTGGACAGGCTGATGACCCAGGGGTCCTGGCCCTGGGTCACGTGCGCAAAGATCCAGATGTGCGAGGGGCTGACCACGTCGAACTGGTGGCTGATGGGAGAGGAGCTCCACTCGGCCAGCGCCTGCAGGTCGATGCCGCTGGGGCAGTACAGCAGGTTGGTCTGCGGGGAGACGGGTCACAGAACCACAGCGCTCGGTGAAGATGCAAACAGCAACGGGGCAGCAGTCTCCCCCACCACATGTCCCCCAAGGCGAGCAGGAGCCCCAGAGCCAGGAAAAGCCAGGTGCAACGGAGTAATCCTACGAAATGCTATGAGGGGAAGTGTGAGACTCAGGCTGCAGAAGCAAGCCCGGGAACTGGACACTGTTTCCTTCGGTACGTATTCAACAGTGTTCTTGCTGCAACACGGGTTCCGCGGGTTCACTCACCTGATCGGCCCCGGTGAGGTGGATGAAGCTCTCCAGCACAGACGCGCTCAGCCTGTCCATCACGTCGATGGCCAGCTCCTCGTCACCCTGCGCTCAGCCACACGGATATCAGAGACCGAGATTCAGCTCGTTGCTAAGAACTGCCGGGGCACTTTCTTTAAAGCGAAGCCTAGCGGACTTTTCCACAAGGAAGTGCAAAGCCACCCACCAACAGTTTCGGCCAGACAGATATACTACAGCATGGAGCCTCCTCTTTCAGAAACAGATTTAAAGTGACATGTAATATTCAAAGGGAACCTTAGGCCTCTACAGTATTTATATATTAAGACTTCAATGGGCCACTAGGTTGTAAAGATTCATGTGCTTTATAATTCCAAACCCACTGTAAAGCTCTCCCCAGTAAACTCTCCCTTACATCATGCAGTTTCAGACAGCTCTTCCACCACGTGAGCACAGAAAAATGGCTTTAGAACAAAGCAAGTCCTCTAGGGCCGAGAGCTGAAGGACATCATCACACCCAGCCCAAACCCCTTATTCAAATGGAGCGGGGCGAGGCTGGCCCGTACCTTCGACATCCCCAGGGCGGCATGCAGGGCTCGGACCTCACGCAGGACGTTGACGGCCAGCCGGCGCGTGGCCGGCCGGCAGCTGCAGAGGACCACCAGGGCGAAGCCCTCCACCACGTGGGACACGCTGGAGAAGGGCGCCCTCTCCAGGGGCAGGGAGTGAGAGCTGCCGTTGGGAACGCCGGACTGCTGCGGGGGCGACAGGGCAGGAACCGGGTGAGAAACAGCCCGAGCGCAGGGACTCCCTCCGCTCCAGGCCAAGGGACAGACGCGTTCTGGCAAAATCTTTCAGAAACCGCCCCCCGGACAGCCACGTTTGCAGGAGCGAAAGAAACACAAGCAAAGAATGCCCTTTCTTTAAGGCTTCTTACATTTAACCCCCTAATTCTAAAGAACTAGTCAGGGAAACGTGATGGGAATAAAAGGCCAATATCTAAAAACTGACACCTGGAAATCTGGTTAGTGAGGTAAACGAGAAGCATCTTGTCAGGGACATGCAAACCAAAATGATGGTCGTAAGAGCCGATGGTGATGTGTGAAACAGAATCTTCACGAATCCCGAGACAGTAACGCCTTGAAAACGAACGCGTCTGTATTACTGGAAGAAAGGAACCACAGAAGGACTGCTACCGACGTGCAGAGAAGCCGACAAAACTGGGCGGGGTCGTTTCCTGAAACGATCCGCGATCCGCGACCCCCCACCCCAGCGGACGCCTCACGAAGACTCCGACGCCCGAAACGCGTGACCCAAACGCCCCCCCACCCCTTCCCCGAAGTCCCAGGGTACCGGGGAGTCCTGCGTCCTGCTGGACGACTGCACGGCCTGCCTCCACTGGCTGATGAGCTGCACCAGCATCTTCACCGCGTTGTCCAGCAGGGTGGGGTGCACGTCCGTGACCTCGCGCACGATGAAGTAGACGAAGCCAGAGAGCACATCCTCGCGCCAGTCGGGGAAGTCCACCATGAGAGCCTGCAGAGTGGTGAAGGCCAGGCCCCGCAGCTCCTCGTCCATGTGGATGGTCAGCCTGCAGCATTCACACGACAAGCAGTCTGAGTTTGCTTCAGTCCTGTAGTCTGTGTGGGTCCTAATGCCCCAGGACAGTGACAGGGACACTATACTCTAAAAAGGGTGCCGTCCTTTGGATGAGACGTAAACCCAGGTCCTAACTCTCTATGGTCTCTTTCTCGTAAATAGTAGGGGTGTTACCCCGGTGTCCTGGCCAAATTTAGTATAGTACTTTAGCACTAATGGACAACACACTTTAGTACTAATGTTTGAAACTTGATTGAGAAACATGTTGTGCCTGTTAAAATCCTTATGATTAGGTGCCTTTTCAGCAGCAGCACAGGTCAGATTACTTGATTATTTTTGCAGGGTCGGGTCTGACTCACTGCAGGCAGAACACAGAGAGCTGGGAGAGAGGGCACAGGTCTGTCCCACTGCACACAGCACAGAGAGAGAGAGCACAGGGTCTTACTTGGCCAGCAGTTCAATGAGGTCAGAGCGGCTCATGCCATCTGGGATTAGCCTGGGAATAGCAGCAACACAGGTCCGGAACAGGTCGATCTTCGGCTTCCTCTCTCCTCTGCACACAGCAAACACAGAAAGCAGGAATAACTCCGCTGTTACTTCTCATCCAAGCTCTCAGCACATTCCTTATGTTGCACTTGAAGCTTATTTGACTTTAATGTTAATTTAAAACAAAACTCACGTGATCATATCCTCAGGTTCCTTGTTGGACATCTGCACGTTTGTCATGCTCATCGACCTGCCGACTTCCTTGTCAAGGTGCCGCAGGATGTTATCCAAGGCCTTCCTGACTTGGGGATAGTAGAGTGACATGCCTGCAACGAGAGATCACTCCTCCGATCACTCCTGTGCCTGGAACTGCAACCCCAGGGTTTCCTACTGCCTCGTATCGCACCCCAACATCCCGGTCAGCAGCGACGCTTCCTTCAGGATGCTTCGGAGTTCTCCGTAAGAGGCCATGTGTGTGAGCGCACGGTGGGGGAGCCACCAGGGGGCGTAAGCTGGAACAGTGAGGGTTCTGAGGTTTGAGGTGGTGAGGAGGCTCAGTCACGAGCAAAGCCCATGGACGAGTTCAATGGGGAAGCAGAGCTTCGCTAAAACATGAAACCACAGCCAATCAGAAATCTACTGTAAGTACATACTGCATGTTTATACAGTAGTAAAGACAAACATGCTTTATCTAATGGGATGCACATAAAAGTCCCTTTCAATGGCTTTTTTATATATATTCCTATACCGACCTCCACTCGCCCACGAAGTCTGAAGCATTCTCAGATGGCTATCTGTATGAAATAGTCAAAGTGGCTCACCAGTGACTGACAGTAGCTAGAACCCGCCAGGGAAAGGACTGGGCTTTTGTCTCCAAATCAAGCACGATATTACTGAAGAGGCTTTTTAGACAACACTTTAAATCGCACTAGTGGACTACAAGCTTGTCAGGAGCCTCTTCGCTTTGACGCCCTGAAACAGGGGCAGAGATAAAAGCGGTACAGTTGAGCAACAGAGCCCGACACCCAGAACGCGCCGGCTCTACGTGCTGAGGACACAGGGAGCCGCCTTGCTTCCACGCGCCTGCCAGCAACCCACCTATGACTTTGGCCTCCTCGTCCGTCAGCGTGGTGTTGAGGAAGATCTTCTTCACGCGCAGCGTGTTCCCCGAGGGCAGCGTCACGCCTGTGGTTGGCATGGGGGGCTCCCCGTCCTTCTGCTGGAGGCTGTCGGCGATGACCAGGAAGGCCCGCAGGCCGATGTTCATCCTCTGGAAGACAGCACAGACGGCACGGAGCTGGAGACGGCCTGGCTCCACCGGGACCAGGCGGACTGAGCCCAAGGCCCCGAGAGACGTGCGGATACTGAGCGAGGTCTTGAGGAGGCAGACCCTCCAGAGCGAAAACCGACCAGCGAGGGATCGCAGACATGAAGGAGGAGGCCTGAGTCTGCAAGCCCAGCCATCTGAGCTGGTCGTGAAACCTTTCCTTAAACCTGGACTACACTCTCCCTTATTTTTTCTGTTGGACACAACGAGGAATCCGAATGTCTTATTACTGAGGATAAAGCGTTTTTTCCTCATCTTCACATATCATAGAAAGCAATCAAATGAAGAGACTCGCCATTGAAAGGGCAGCACTGCCTCCCTGTATCGAGCTTTCACTTCTGTCCGCCGTGGGAAAGGCACTCACCTCGGGGTTGATCGTGAACGTCTTGTGTGATTTCCCTACGCAGAGCAGGTCGTAGATGATTTCTTTCATAGCGAAATCAAGTCTTTCCTGCCACGGGAGAGAAACAAATCCATCAATAGGTCAAAAACAGACATTTTTCTCCTGCCGGATCTCAAACATACTGATGCTCAGACTGCTCTTGACCAGAGGTGCAGAGATGGGGTTTTTAAATCACATTGAAACGGCAAACCTATCAATTAAATTGCAAGGTTGAGGGCAGGACGATAAAACATTGTGCAGGAAAGGAAGACGTGCCGCGCGTGATGACGCCGGCTCACCTGAGCGATGAACTGGATGATCTTGACGAAGATGTTGAGGGGCGTGTCGCGGGGCACCACGCTGCGGGAGCCCTTGGGGAAGAGCGCCGAGACGATGCTGAGGAGGCGGCTGTGAGGAGAGACGCCAAGACACGGGGTGAGCGAGAGACAGGGGTGCGCTCGGACGCTGGTCAGGATCGACAAGGCAGAACAGAACCGGGGGGGGTCAACAGAGCTTTTACTCCATTAAACCTCTGGAATCTATCAGCATCACCTATCAGACACCTAACGCAAGCAGTCTGTGACAGTGAAGTCCAGCCATGAGCTCCTGCTGGATTAGCATGCTGTACACTCCCCCAGATCCTCCGATACCCTGTGGTACCTCAGATAGCCTTGGTGGCCCATAGTCAGATTCCTGTAAACCTCAATGTAAGAGCATTTGGATGTGCAATTATTTATTTGGTGATGCCTGTCGGTACCAGGTGCAGGTCTGCACAAAATAATCTAACCTGTGACATGTTTAGTTCATTTTGGTAATTAGCAGGCAGAACAGAAACCTTCTTAGATCTAGGATGCAAGAGCATGCCGCAGAGCTATTACTGACCACTGGCCTCACGCCTTTTTTGTGACAGGCCTCCGTGCACAAAATATTTTGACCACAAGCTTTGCTCAACTTCTTTCCAAAGTATGCTGCATGCTCTCCAGAGACGTTCAGATCTTTTTTTTTTAATTAAACACGAGTTGTATACTGACCTTTGCGTGACATTGTTGCTTTCACATTTTATTCTGATTACATAAACCCACAGCAGTCTGTACAGTGACTCCAGTGCAACTCTTGACATTTTGGGATCCTTGTTCTGACAGAAAACCAAAAAAGGTTATTTTAAGATGACTTCAAAGATCATCTTCTGCATGAATAAAGACTTCACAGACAGCTCTGATAATGTCTTTCCAGATGCAACATGGCAATTTATGGTAAACTTTACAAATCGCCTCTAATAAACGATTTAACGCTTCTTTCTTGCTGCTCAACTCAGAATGGAGGACAGTGCACTGTGGAGCAGCTGTGCCGTAGACTACCCAGAGAGAGACAGCCCTTCTGCGGGCAAACTGCAACACAAAGAACCCCAGAGCATGAACAGGGAATCACACAGCCTGAATCTGAAGTCCTGCAGGCGTCTTCTGTGAAGAAGTTATTTCAGTCAAAGCCTTACAGTGCCTGAGGCTGGGCTCTCCACTTTAAAAGGCAGGCAGTCACAAAGAGTCTCCTTTCTCTGTGCCGACATGCAGAGTGGCGGGGGAATGGACCAGGCGAGATCTCCCAGGAGTGGTCTTGTGGGGCTGCGGACACGTGGAGGTGCCGTACAGGCCCTGTGCATCTCAAAGAGATTCACCTCAGTCACCTGCAGGCTTTCGTTACTTAAATACGAAGAGTCCTGTCACTGGCAGGAAACGTGGTGTACCTCATACAAAAAAAACTCTGTAACATTTATGCTGATGGACTTCTGTGATGATTGTGAAATACAGATGATTTAGTCCTCAGGTCACAAGGAGTCTGAAACCAAGAAGTTCAAAACGCAGCTCAACTGCAACACTGGAAGAGTTTAACTGAAATGCAAAATATTAGAATATATTCTTTTAGGAATGAGCAGTGCTAAAACCAACAACCCCATAACTGGTTAACGCTGCAAAAGAAGGACTGGGAGGGGAATTCTCTCCACTAGTGGTCGATACGTGCTTGTGTTTTGTCTGCTGGCACTCCAGCTGGCACCAGCAGGAGAGCATTGTGCCCAGATTAAAAAGCACAGCTTTACAAACTCCCTGCTGCTACGTCACCGTTTTGCCCAGGCGGAGCAGCAGATGCAAACTACGAAAGGAGAGCAAACAAATTAAACATGCATAGAGCTTGGGGTAATGGGTGAGCACCACACTGAACATGCCACAGAACCCTGGGAGTGCTACAGGAAAGCTCAGACCAGCTGAAACAATGTTTTCTCCAAGATAAAACAGGCACTGCCGCAGTGAACTAGACAAGAGGGTAACGTCTCACCTTCTGATGAAAAGCATTCATGCAGTTGAAAAAAAAGAAGACCTCGGGATTCAGTTATGGTTTTCCCTGCCACTGAAACCCCTAACCCTTGTGCACTGGAAGTCCTCGTGCCACACACACGCTTGCAGACCGGACGCAGCACTGAGCGGTTGCCCCTCCCCCACACAAGCGCGGCCCCTGCACTGACACGGCCTGTCCAGGACCCAGAACCCCCCCACACCACAGCAGCGCTGTCAAAACGAACTACAGACCAGAAAGACGAAACCACACCGCTCTGGATTTCTGAACTTTACAGAAAGGGAGCTTCTGGCATCAGCGGCAAGAAATGACGGACAGTTTCTACGAACCGCTCTAAGTTGGCTATTAAGCCACTTGCCACCAGTAACTACTGAACTTTTGTCAACAAGTGCTGGTTGATTCCAGAGATATTTCAGATAATGCCTGACACCTTATTGAAAGGAGAAACTTCTGTCACGAATAAAAGTTTCTCCTTTCTTTTGAGTTGTGACCACTTCCCCCACGCACTGTAAAGAAAGCCAAAGCTTGCAGAAGCCTTGACCTTGAGTACGTCCCCTGGGCACACAGAAATAAAACCATGATTCTGTTATCGTTTCGAATTCTGCTCATGGCTGCTGAAGTTCGCAGCAGAATAACCCATAACCATTTTTACGGAGACCAATTCCTGCACGTTGCAGTGCACAGCTAAAATTACCTGTGGTGAATAGCACAGTACTTCTAAACTACAGTTTAAAATAGCTCCACAGTAGAGTAGAGTCAGAGGAAGTTCAGGTGACAGCATCCTGCTGTTGTCTGAGCTTTAGAGAGCACTGTGAATGCACATCAGAAGGCCACGCAACTCACCTGCAGGGTTTCTATTTGTTTTCTGATACTGTTGTTAGATGGCATCTAGACAAGGCAAACGTGAGACAGCAGAAAACAAAAACAGAAACATGAAAAGCAAATGAGAATGGGGCTCACATGCATGTTAGCACACAGCGCAACAATGACGTCGCCCCACAGCAAGGACTCCGAGGCAGACGAATGCACTAACCTGCTGAAAATTAGCAGAACAAAGCGGCAACGAAACTATAACAAGACTCCTGGTGTGCCAATGAAGTGCTTTTAATGGCATTTATTTAAAAAAAATGGCCTTCCAGGCAAAAATAAAAGGGGAAGGAGAAAGCGGATTGCTCTAAAGTGAAAGAAATACAAGCAAAGCAAGCAAGAGGCATACAGGAGGCAGCCGCCATGCAGGACTCGGGTCAGAGGAGCTCAGGCGATCGTCACAGGAAACCCACTCTGGAGCAAATCACACTCCCTGTACTGCAGCACCCAAGACCCACGCCCACCCCTGATTAGAGGCATTTCAGTGCAGCTGTCCCCTGCTACAGCACGGCTCTTCTCACAGAGAGCGCGCGCAGGATACCTACCGCAGCTTTCACAAAGACATAGAACCTTACAGGCTATTTCACGCACTGGGGAGAGCACTTTCCGAGATGACTGCTTTCAGAGGCGCTACACAAAATGAGGTTTATTGTTATGATAGTGCTTTCTAGCAACACTGCGACCTTTTCAGGAGAAAAAGGAAAAAGAACGACTGGAGCACTGACATGGTTCATTCGATCGGTCAGTTACAATCACCCCGGCAATCAGGCACCTGCAGAGAAACAGGAAGAGAACGAAGGCATCCCAGAACACAAGGAAGTGGATTTGTTGCTGTTCTGGAATTGGTGTGTTTTAAGCGCACATGAAAGAAGGAGAGAGAAAGAGGACTGGAACCTGGAAGACACACCTCCTGGACGTCCGCCATTAACGCACCACAAACACACCCCACACCACCCCCCGCTCCCCGCCCCTCAGGCCTGCTCTGCTCCGGGAATGCTCAGCTGCAGTCATGACAATGACTGGGCTTGAAGCTGACAGCCCTAAACTCTTTATCCATCTCATCTGATCCGACCTTGACATCTAGGCTCCCAGAATCCAGCCTGTAAGTTACCCCCCACCACAACCATAAGGCATCTGCATAAAAAAAGCCTGCTTCTTTTTCATTAACATACATTATAAACCTTTAATTCGTTTAATCTTTTCCAAGAAGACCTTCTTAAGACGTACCTTTAAATGTGACAGACAGTTCTGTAGAAATATATGCCAGTAGTTCAGAAAGAACGGCTTCTGGCTGACACACAGCAGGCACGTGACCAGGGGATACAGGGCCTGTTGGGAAGGAAACAAAACAAGCTAGACTGAACCCAGCACGAGGGAGAACACGTCTAGCGCTGCTCTCCGGGCTGAGGCAGACTGAAAGGACAGGGCGGGAGCCTGAGGTCCAGTCTGCGGACTGAGACCAGAGAGAATGACAAGGCCTCAGCACTACGCAGCACTGGCTAGGGCAACGACACAGTTCAGTGCCGACTGACAGAACAAAAAAGAAAGGAAATGAACAGGAAACAGAGGCAAAAAGTTCCAAATGCATATTATTTAAGGCCGGTTGAGCTCTGGGTACCACTTACCAGAGAGTGTTTTTTTCTTGAGCTGAGGTCAAAGGTGGTCTGATAGAGCATCTCCACAAAATTCTTCAAACATGGCACATTTACTTCGTTCTTCACAGCCTGCGGGGACAGAAAAGTCACCTTAGATTTTACGGCCCTGAACAAGAAATGCGTTGGATTTACTAGCAGTTTCATTACTCGTAGATTGGGATTCCTTCCCTGAGCCACGCGGGATGTCAGTTGCTGGCGTGTGCATTGTGCCAAGGCAAGGTGATTAAACCCATGAAGAATCTCTCCTGCAGGAAAGCCATTACTGAACCAAAGGAACAAGCCTTCCGTGTTGTTAATTATATTGCAATATGAATGATGTGTGTTTATTCTAATGGCATTAATTACCACAAGCGGTGGCTATAATTTACTGCTGAAGATGAGCAATTACACGCAGAACGCAACCGCATGGGGAACTGGGGCGACCCCTGCTTCCCACTGCGCCGGTCTCCAGGCATACTCACAGCAGCGACGGGAATCAGGATCTCCACGAACAGGCCAGCCAGGGCGTGCTTGATGTCCTTGTCCTTGACTTCCAGGAAATACTGGGCACACTCCTGGGAAAACCAACACAGGGCGAACGCGTAAGACAGGGACATCTTTCACAAAAGGAGAAGCGCAGAGCATCTTGGCGCGCTCGGAGAAATCGCAGGGAGACACGAGGGTATGAGCCAGCAGTCTGTTTGTTGGCTTCTCATCCTCTACACAGCAGCAGTGAGTCTGAAGGATGTCACGGGCACTGCTGGCTCCCAGCCTGAAGCACAAGCTGACCGAGGCCGCCGAGCAAAGCGCTACAGGGGAGCGTGCCCATCGGCCCTCTTCAGGAAACTCGCTGAAGAGGAGCACGAGCTTCAAAGGCCTTTAGTGGCCATATCCCCGTGCACCTCCAAGCTGGCCGCCCACTGGAGCCCAGCAGTGTGAGCCTGGTCAGGACCTGGAGGGGAGACTCCTGGGAGAGCTGAGGTTGCTGCTGGAAAAGGTTAGAGGGGCCAGTAGGGGGCGCTTACCCTGTGGTCTGTGTGGGTCCTAATGCCCCAGTATAGTGACGGGGACACTATACGGTAAAGAGGTGCCGTCCTTCGGATGAGACGTAATACTAAGGTCCTGACTCTCTGTGGTCATTAAAAATCCCAGAGAGTTTCTCGAAAAGAGTAGGAGTGTTACCCCGGTGTCCTGGCTAAATTTCCCCCAGGCCTAAAACTGATCATCATTTTATAGTTTCAGGTTTGTAATCAAAAGGGAAAACTCCCCCTGGGGGTCACAGTCATAGGGTTTTAAATGCTGTGTTCTGAAACAAGTAGACCGGAACTAGCTCCTTGCAGAGAGCATTGGTTTTACAGACTACTGGCATGAAACTCAGGCTTGACTCCTTTCAGACCCTTCGTGTTCTGGCAACAACACTGCCTGCTGAGCTCACAAGTCAAGGATGTCGGTATATACGATTGGAATGAGCGAACAATTTAGCAGACAAGTTAGTTCCAATCACGTTAGTTCCAATTACATGGTCTAGCCTAACGTCAATCGGTCAAGTGAAGTTAATAGGTGCCCTGGTGGCCTCAGTAACTTGCTTCCCTCGAGTCCTTGCCTTGTGAAGGAGCATACCGACTAACTCTGTACGCCATCTAATGAATTTAATTATTTTTCATTTTGTGACCTGACTGCAGCAGCACTTCAGGCCACGTCTCCCTTCTCCGAGGGACACCTCAGGCTGACAGAGCAATCGCAGTGGAAAAGTGTGGCTTCAGAGCGGGGCAGGTCACACAGTGCGCGACTGCATCAGAATGCGGAGGTCACCACAAACCGGCCGCAGAAACCAGCACTGAACTGCGGTGCGGGCCGTTCCCTCCTGCGCCACAGTTCGCACAGATAAACAGCCTCCCGGAAGCTCTTCTCCTGAACGTTACAAAGGCATTGCGCAAATTCTAAATTGCGTTTGTTTAAAAATTAACAGAATGGCAAACACCTTTTTTGTTCTCAGGGTGACACTAAACTGCTTTGATGTCTTTTGTGTTCCTGCCCGACCACAAACCTCACAAGAGTCTTTGTGAAGCTCTTTAATGCCATCCGAGAACAGCTCCACCCTCTGCTGTGTGGTGTCTTAAGACTTTAAAAGCAATACTGAACATGCACAAAATTCTTTCCAAATTAAGCGAAAAGCACAGATGCTATGTTTCCTTTTTGGCTATATTCATATGCTAAAATTGAAACAAATCTTACACAGTACACTGAAGTGTACAGGACCTTAAAATCTACAAGTAAATTATAACTATAGTCATAATTACATGCGGTGAGTGGTTTTATCTCTATGAAGCAGCATTTTAATTTATTGCTTTTATAGATGTCCTACATGTGACCGGACAACATACAATTACAAACGTGCTCCCAACACGTGAACGTCCAGCGTTAAGAGCAATAGCAATAGAGGAATGGATGCAACTATGCCCTTCTTCAATGCTGTGAAGAACAGATGAAAAGTAATTAAATTATAGGGGTGGATTTCATATGGCAAAAAAGAGCCAAGGCCATACCATGGGAGCTGACAGAGAATGAAATTTGCAGAGCCTCTACTGGAAGCCGAGAGCCCTGAAGAAACTAACAGCAAGGTGTATCTGCTAGTATGAACATAACTGTGTGTGATCTGGTTCGTAACTGCTCCTGAGAGAAGTGGTTAGGGGGTGACTTCGGTAAGGGGCGTGCCTTTCCTCTGGTCGGCACAGACCCTCCAGGAGTGGCGTATGATCTGTTAAAACACACATCCACCTCCACACATCTGAAGGGGATGGAACAAAATCCGAAGAGACTGTCTCTCCGCTGTTCTCAGATAAGCACTCATCTTTGTGAAAGCGCCACAGCCAGTCATGAACTGGACAAATGAAAGTTGCCCATCATGAAACAACTGGCTAACCAAGGTGCAACAAAAAGTACTTTTTTTTTTTAAGAAACATCTGGACATGCTTGTAGAAAAAGAATGCCAGTCTGGGTGTCCAGGAAGATACTTGGGGGGGGGGGGCACTCGTTCTTACCTGCATGAACTGAAATGAAGCCTCAAAATCCTCTACTGGGTACATTTTGACCCGGAAGAATTTCATTCCCATGATCAAGCTGATAATGCTCTGGACCACGTGGGGACTCGGCTCCTTCTGTCGGAGCTCCTTCAGCTCCGTCATGAACTTCTTCCTGACGGCCTGAAATCTGCAAACAGAACATGCGACACGTGACAATCCGGCCAGAGCAATCTGTACCAACTACAACAAACTGAAAGGCCTGTCTGAAGGGTAGGTGTGCTACCCACAGTCTTTCTCCCACCAGACTGCAAACAGGAGTAACAGATGTTTCACATCAGCACCTGTCTGGGCTCTTCTGAGATCAGGGCTAACGTGCTCATGCATGTACTAAAGCCCGGCAGCACTGGAAGCATTTAACTCTGCCCGACATCCACTGGAAGGACAGATTGCTCAGGGCTTAAAAAACCTGAAAGTGCCCGAGCTGGAAGAGGAATTCAAAGACAACGTGTAGGCTTAATAATTTATATAGAAGAAACACTTCAGTCCAGTGCATTCTATCTCCTGAAGTGTCAAAGGAGGACAAGTGCTTGTAAAAGCAATCTACAGTCATCAAGGAATCATGGAAAAGACAGCACAGCCGTACTAAAAGAAAACTAAAGCATGTTCTCCCACACGCAGCATCACCCTCGTCTGAACTCAGTTCACAGCTGATGCCACTTTACATGTTTTAAGATGTTGCAGGGTTTAAAAAAAAAGGATGCGTTGCGTTACTTGGATTGCGTGAGAACCCCTATGACTTCTGCGTACAGGTCTGCGATAATGTGCACGTTTCCAGTGTTGGGGCCGGAGTACCTGCGAAAGAAACCCACCAACAGACAGGATCAGCTCAAGAACTGAATTAATGGTTAGCAGTCTGAGACATTTTGAGAGCAGCAGCCATTCATTTTGTCACGTATGAAAAATGTGCCCATCCAATACTCTCTGAAAACAATTTTCTAATTATAACATAATGACTACTACAATTACTAATAATATTAATCATCATCTTTAGCATAAAATGTATATTTGTTCATTGTAAAATAGGGATATTCCTTCTATCTCGTTTAATTCAACACACATTTGCCATAAAACACTGGAACTACAAGCACAGAACAGGACAGCTCTCAAGAGAAGGAGAAGCAGAGTCATGGAGAGCTGTTAGATTAACAAGGTGAAATGAATCACCAGGTGAGACTGGAGCTCTGAGGGACAGGGTGAGCCCCAGAAGGCGGCTGACGTGTCTGACTTACCCCTCCTTGTGTTTAAAGTGCTTAAAAGCCAAGTTCAGAACTTCATGTATTAAAGCATCTGGCACTGGATGAACAGGAATCTGCAGAACAAACATTTCATCATGTCACTGCTGGTCCCCTCAGCTCTCATGTGACTCATAAACACCAGTGATGCTGCAGGCAGCAGACCCTGAAAATGACTCCTACTGCCAGTGGGCAAAACTCTGAAAAGAGTCCGGATGGCTTTCAGAGAAGCCCTGCACAGATGGCACGGTCCAACTGCAGCGAAAGGTATTTTTACCGAGCCAATACAGCGTCCTTTTCGTGGCTTTGTTAACCTCCAGCTGACCTATGTGCAGATGAACTACTGAAAACAAATGCAAGGCTCTGATACAGAGCTCCCTTGTGGCTCTACGTATCTAGAGGGGAATCTATATCTATTGAACTACACAGCACAATTCTCCAAACATATTTCCTGAATCCATAAAAGTCCTAACTCTTCAATAAATTATGCCAGTTCGACAGAAGTTGTGAAAAACCTGCTCTGAGGACAAAATGTCAGGAAAGGGTGCTGTGTACTTGCCATATGGAGGCCATGAAAAGACAGCATCAGGCTTAATTAAGACTACCTGCATCCCACGCTAGGAACACAAAGGCTAGGCAGCCGGCTCAGTTATGTTTATAGCATGTCTTCACCTGTCTGTGCTAAAAACACAGCCATACAGACACGCTTTAGGAATGCACAGAGGGAGCATTTTTCACCGCCCAGACACTGAACTTCTGAAGCAGTGCCAAAGCTAATATTTTACAGATGAGGTTCTGTCGCAGAAAGAGCCCCACATGGTGTCGTTCTTGCAAGACGACACCCAGGAGAAGCTGAAACAAGACGGCTCATGCACTCACACACGACGGTCGTTAGTGACCAGGAGAATTAGTTCACTGTGGCCAAGCACAGAATGAAATCTGTAGGAAACTGCAGAAGCTAAGGTCTACAGAGCCTTGTCGAGATTTTCACCAAAAGCAACCAGAAAAAATACAGAAAGGGGTGAAACGAGCTGCAAATTGGTAAACTTAACATCCTGTCGTTAAAGCTGGGAAAAGGGGGGTTTAATGGGGAACTGCAGTTCCAATTTCTCAGACTTGTTATTAAATCTCATTAATGAAATAAATTAATTGACGGTACAGAAAAGAATTACAAATTTCGAATTAAGCACAAAATTGTGCAATTTGTGAAAGTACTGTAAGTCGCCCCGTTGTTGCAAACCCCTGGTCTTGCCAAGTTCTGACCTGAGTTCTCACGAATAACGGCATGAAGCTGCCCTTCCTGCTCACTAGTCACTGTAATGACTGATGTACTGTGATGTACAAGTGCAAGTACAATGTGTGCAGCAGACTGTGCATGCAGAATTAACGAGCTGTATTTTTCTACAAAGCCATTTCAAAGTCGAGAGCAATATTTCTAACGGATTAAAAGAGATGTATTCACAAGTCTGCTTGTTTACGAGGTCATACGGCGGCAACACATCACGGGACGTTTTGAATCACAGAACATGGCCCTGTGCAGACCTGGAAATTTAATCTATCTTGTGATGTAAATTGGAGGTTTTCAAGTTACTGTGTACATTTTACTTTCATTGCAGTTTGAAATGCACTCATTAATGCTAATTCTCTCTAACCCCGAAATATAAAAATAGCCATGCAGTTCCCCTTTAAATAAATCTGGCTTCATTCGAACGAGGGAAGAGAAGTCATGCAAATGCTCTCTCTGAGCTACTGGTCCATCGTGTTGCCTTATAACGTGCTGAGCGCTCATCAAGGAATGAAGGCTGAACCGACAAGAGCCCACATGACTCCGCCCAGCTTCCAGGACACATGGAAATGCAGAGCTGCTGCACGCTCCACACGAACCTTTTCACTTTGCATTGGCGATACTGAAGCCGCATCTTTTTAACAAAGCAAAACAGCTCCAGTAACTCCTGACGCAGGCGGCCAATTAACGAGACTCACTTTGTGAGTTACCTGAAGCAAGGGAAGGGCGAGTCACTGCCATGCCAGCAGGATGCCCACCCGATTAAACACCAGACAGCCTCAAGACAGGTTCTGGGCTGCTGACTTGTTAGTACTAATGTGCCAGACATTCTGAATTGCAAGGCCAGGATAAAATCGAAAACTTGAATGCACGCAGGTCACAGGCCCGGTTCGTGAAACCGGGTTTTGGCAGGTATAGGTGCTGGGGAACAGCGACAGTGAGCTCTGTCACCTGACACAAATGAGGTCACACCAAGGTCACATTCTGCCTTAGGATGCAGGAATATGGTGGGGGAAATGACAGCATAAATCATAAAGAAATAAAAATAAACTTTTTGTGGGCTTTTATGGCCAAGGCCTGGAAGCACAGTAGGATATTCCTAAAGACACCCAAGGAAATTGTGTTTTTTTTTCTGAGTCTCAGTTGATCATTAACTCAAGTTGCGGCTCACTGCTTTGCCTCTCTTGCACAATTCACACTGAAGGTTTATTTCACCTGAAGAAGCAGAAGCATTACAGCCTTAGTTTTCTGTGACACAAACTAATATTACATTGATACGCAAAGGGTGACAATAGACATAAGAATCCTAAAAGGAAAAAAAAGCCAATTATCTTATTCTTTCTCCCAACTCCGAATTTGTTCTAGTGGAAGCTCTACTGCTGCATGCCTGTGCTGGAGGAAGTGCAGTGTGTACAGGCTTGGCACTAAATTACTCACAAATGGAGAATTCACCCCATCCGAGTCAACGTGCGTATATAATAAATAATCCAGCTAGTAAAGACATGCATAATTTATGTCTTCTTATTGAAAAGGCTACTAATTTCACTAACTTGGTACTTTCAGCTGCATGTGAAATGAATATGCAATTGTACGTGAATTATTTATGACTTTACACAGCACAAGAAAAGCAGGTGAACAACGTTGCTGGATGTAGATGGCTTTCAGCTGGAGAGAAGCTTACCTGTTTCAAAACCTCTACTAAAACCAAGCAAAAAATGAAATCGATAGCGAGATCCCGCCTCTCCAGCAGGTAATCTTTATCGCGATGCTGCTCGTCTCTGAAACACAAAGGAAAGAAAGAACAATCAGCTCTTCTCTCCCCTCTTGGGGTTTGTTTGGACATTTTAACACACTGTTACGGCAGCCCATTTTGTCAGGACACCCGTCAACAAGCCCTGGAAAAGTCTGGCTGCAGTTCCGAGGGAGGCGGAAACCAGCAGCCGAAGGAGTCGGCCGCGTGGATGAAAGCCCCAGCCACCCCACAGCCCTGCCGTCGAAGCCATGCGTCTAAACCACATCACGCAAACGCGCTGCTCCGGCCGCTGTGGCACAGTGTGTAGGCAACAGAAAGATGAAGAGGAAACGTGCTTTGAGAAGATGCTCGGCAGGACAGAAACACAGGGCCTCTCTCGGAGCCTTCAGGGGCTGCCGTGCGGACAGGAGGGGGGGGGCGGCGGCGGCGGAGGAGGATCTCGGCCCACCCTTTGGATTTGGTGCTGGAGCGCGGCCGGTATTCGTACGACTCGTCCTCCGTGCCGCTCTGCCGCCGGTACCAGTCGAACAGGGTGCGCAGCAGGGAGGGCAGACAGTGTTCCGCTATGGAGTTCATCGAGCTTATCAACTGCAAGACAGCAAGACACACGCAAGGCCGGTCAGCAGCACTCCTGGACTGCAGCGGTGAACACATCTCAACTTACCCCCGTCCCTCGGCTATACCCTCAAAACCCCCTTGAATAAAAAAACTCTGACCAAGCTTTTCAGTAAAGAAACAGGAGTTTTATAAAAAAAGAGCACTTCATTAAACTTACGAGAGGATAAAAGCTGGGAAAGACAAGAGGCACATAATACCAGACAGGTTTTCCTGTCAAGTTTTCTAAGTACAGACCCTGAAAAGAGAAATTGCTACAACCCACAACTCAAAATTGCAAAATTATCTAAATTAAGAAATGAAGATGTTCACAGAACCAACACCATCTCACTTGCACGTACTACTGTTCGTTTTTCACAGACAGCTTCATGCAGAAGACGGAAGCACAACCAGCACAGTGACGTGCTAACAAAGAAGCGTGTTGGACCAGTCAGCTTGAACGACTGGAAATCGGAGTCTTTATTACCTTATTAAGTGAAGGTTTAAAACAATAATGCGTTTCTATTTTTGCTCCCTGAACACAAGCAGCTGATGGCTTCAATACCTGCTGTGCCATGCTGCTCATCCTTTCTGAAAAGAGCGCAGGGCCAGTCCCCTGCAAGCACATCCCAGCAGCAGAGCAGGAACACTCTGTTCCAACCGCTAGTGCAGGGCTACATGCAGCACGGGCCCCTCCGCTTCAGAGGAGCTCGGTTTGAGTGGGAACAGTGTATCGGGGTCAAGGAGAGTGGGCTTGGAAACCAAAACGCTGAGTCCTTTCAGGCGCCGCCAGCACCTCTCGTGATTCTACCGCCACAACAGAAGAGAAACGGGGCGCCCTGGGGCCGAGCAGCGCGGAGGGGGTGCGGGACGGAGCAGGAGCGCCGGCGCTGGGGGACACGAGTCAGGCAGCGTGGCAGGAGGCGGATCTGCCGAGTCTACATGCGCACCGATCCTGCGGGCACTGGAGACCCACTCTTCCGGCGGTAATTTCTAAGGTTGCCGGCTCGGCGCAGCAGCGCTAATGTGCGTCAGCGAGTGACGTCGAGGCTGGCTCGCCGCCGCAAGCTTGACCCCCCCCCCCCGGGGCAGCCTCGCGCGCCGGAGCCTGAGCACGCACGCACACACCGCTGCAGCCGGGGGCAGCGCTGCACGGAGGGCTTGGCGGCCTGTTCGCCAGGCGACACCAATACGCCTGCCGGGCAGCGGGGATCCCGCCGGCGCGCCTGCCTGCCAGAGGGGCTTCCTTCTCTCCGGGCAGCCTGGGGAACTGCTGCCGGACAGTCAGGTAGGGAAACAACTGGAGTCCCAATCGGATGGGTATGAAATGAAAATTACTGGTGACTCCAAGATTTAGCAAAAAAAAATAATCGCCAAACCACCAGCTATAAAAATCTCCCTTCATACTGGGGAATGGAAAGCAATGAAACATCTTGCGCATTGAAAGGTAAAGGTCTGAGACCCTGCACTGGGGTCGGGCAAAATGGCTCAGGGGAGCAGCTAACACCCAGAGTGCTTAGTGAGCACCCACACCCTGGAGCGCACTACACTTGAAACACCTTCTGTGTTTTACAAGGGCTGGCAAGTTAAACACCTACATAAGATCATAAAATCATGACAGCAGATGCGGTTTATCTGCAATTAAGACTACTTGGCTGTTTACCGAGAACTGCAAAATGCGTAAATGCAGTTCAGCTGGATTTTAATAGTGTCAGTGAGTTCACACCCAACATGGCAAGATACAAGATCTGGGCTTACAATGACATCGTAACATACTTTCAGGCCAATTCACTACACCTGCCATCCCTTTCAAGTAACACCTGAACAATAACATGTCGAATACTGACAAGCATTTTGAAGCAATAAAATTATATTGTCCATTACTGCACTTCATGTATATGATCGTACTAAATGAACACACTGCTTAGTGCAGTTATTAACGTTAGTCAAGACTTCTATACAAATGATTTGAAAAGCAAATCTTTTCTGTTCTGACTGCATTTATCCAAGTGTAGTCAACTATGATTCATACAATCTGAAGTATGAATAACTTTAAAAATGCTACATTTTAAATAACTTAAATCTGACTAAATGTCTACAGAAAGATTATCAAATGGGGGAAGAAAGCAACTTTTAAACACCTACAATATTGCTATAAATTATGTTATACTTTGAACTAGCAAAAAACACCCTTCTGTTATAAGGAGACATACGGTTTCCTTTCCTGCGAAGTTGAGGAAGCTACACCGATGGGCTCTACGCACTGGGGCAGCACAGGAATCGTTCTGATCACAGGGCTGGACTTTTGAAAAATAGAAAAAACCCACGATAGTTTCATTTCAAAACTCCAAAGGGGAATTCCCATCTTGTAAAATACAATATTATCCTTACATTAAAATCAGGCCTGTGGTGAAAATCCCTACTAAAATCAGAAAATCAAAGCTGTTGAAAAATAAATGCATTCAATGTCTCCTCAGGGCAGGTTGTGTGATTTAAGACATTAAAGCACAGAAGCAGGGGACCTCTGTAAGGTGTGCATGAGGAAACCTCAGGCTTGAGTCCTTCGGAAAGGGCTGCTTCGTCCTCAGCCTCTGTCCGGCCCGGAAAGAAAGGGAGCAGGACAGACCCTTCGCTGCTGGACAGCAACGTGATCAGACAGCAGCAGGGGAATGAGCTGAAGAAAACGCCACTGAGAACTAACCGATATGATAATGCAAGACAACAGATTTGTTCAGCCAGCATTAAAAGTCCTTTCATTGAAGTGCTGTGAGGGGTTGTACACTGTTTGTCTGAAGCAGAGGTCTGGCTGTGCTCTTTTCTTTGATCCAACTATAATATTGAAGTCTGTTCTCATCTGAGGAATTCCCGCACTGAAAGGGACACTAAATCTTTTTTTTTTGTAACCTGCTGCAATGTGACGCATAGTAGGGGGACAAACCACTCTGCTGAGCAAAGGATGGAAGATCAAGTATCACTGCTTCCACCCTCAAATGCCTTCGACCTCCTCATGTATCCTGTCCGGACTGGATGGCAAGCTCTTCCCAGCCACAGAACGAGGTTATCTTTTACTCCCACGGCTCTCGTAACCTGCTTCATTTGGATAAGTAAATTATTACTATATTTTATTTTCATGATGCATTATCTGTATTTGTCTCATTCACTGAGGACCCAACTTCTTTATCTTCCTATATCTGCATGGTGAGGATTATTTAAAACTTCTGACTTGATTTTTGATCTTATTCATGCATGTCTTTTATTTGTTAATGGACTCATATGCAGTTTAATGTACTACGTATCGCATTACATCTTATACCTGCCTGAAAAAGCAATTTTCCATCTAGGCCAGTAAAGTAAGCAGGTAAGCAAGTCTTGCACACACTGCAGTGTCTGCTCTCTGTGTATTGAGGGGGAGAATGGCCGTGCTATCAGTGCTCTCGATAGTGCACATTCCCCAGGCTGTAAGGGCAGACTGATGAAATGGGCTCACAAGGATACATTTGCTAGCATCTGTCAGCTTTATATTTTAGATCTTCACCATCTTTTGTAAATGAATCCCTGGATGGTGCAGGTACATTAAAATTGCATGAGGTGCTGTAAAGGCACTGAAAATAAATGAACAAACAGGCAACACTGCAGCTTCACACACAGTTTAAGACTCGTCTGTAAAAACTCTTCTCCATCTGTAGCCACAACAATAAATAACACAACTACACTCTGGATTCAGAGTCTGCTACTTCGTTCCCATTAGCTGTGGCAGCCTTTTTAATAAGAATAAACAGCTCCCCTCTACATGTTGAATCAGCATCAGATGGGCAGGTGCCGATCTGCATGCAGTCTTAGGCGAGAAGGTTTCAAATCCCATGTCAATTTTCCACATAAGAGTCTCATGAACGGTTCTAAGAATCTTGCCAAATTAAGCAGCAGAAAATCTGGTTCATGAATAATGTTTTAATGAGCTGCTTCTTTTTTTTCCCCCTAACTTTTCCTCACAAAAAAAGCACCTTGCGACGGCCAGAATCACCTATATCTGGACCACATCTGGTGACCTTTAGCCCTCTTGGTGTCCTGTGAAGTGTTTTGGGCAAATAAGAAGCCTGTGTGTCAGGAGCACAATGCTGGTGTTTTTACTTAGGTGGGCATGGTCATTTGCAAGAGTCTCCTCCAACACATGGCTTCCTCCCACACCTGGGAAGAGTACTCGGTGCCCTGGAGGAGCATGACGTGAATCCCAATCTGGGCCTCTGCGGACAGGCTGCTCCAGCTCTGCAGCTTTTTCCCAGGTGACAACTGGCCATTATTTCCACAATTCCGTGTGGACTTTCAAATCCTCATGCTCACCTAAAAGGCTCTCCATGGCTTGGCACCTCAGTACCTGTCTGAGCTATTATCACCCTACTCCCCACCGGGCAGCCTTCACTCCTCTTCTTCTGCTCTCCTCACTGCCCCCCAAGCCCGTCTACACTCTGTGGGTGACAGGGCCTTCTCCTGTTATGCCCCCAAGCTCTGGAACTCTCTGCCCAAGGATATCAGAGAGTCACCTTCTCTAAACTCCTTCAAATCCAGACTTAAAGCCTTCTTGTTAAGAAGAGCCTTTACTGAACTGGTCCCATTCTTCACCCCTCTGCTTTTCTTAGTACCACCCATCCACGGTCTCCGCTGTGTATTGTAATTGTGTTTTATCTTGTACATTCTTTTTATTCATTGTTGTTGTCATTCTGTAAAGCGCTTTGAGAAGCGCCATATAAAATAAAGTTTAGTATTATTTAACCAAGCTGACGTGTTGAACCAAGGACACTTGGATTTGCACCCACTTATAGAGGACGGCGCTCCACTGGAAGAGTCTGAGTGGCGCCCCAGCAGGGCCCCAGCAGGGATATGAACCCCCAGCCCTCGCAGTGACGAGCCCAGGCCCGGAGGCCCTGCTCCAGTCTGCTGTGTGGAACCTGAATTCTGAGCAAGGAGCACTGACCTGATCAAACTGAGGATCTTCTCCTCTTTGAAGAGATCTCGACAACAGCTTCTCCTGAAAATGAGAGAAAATAAATTTTAAAATGCAGGCCCGTACACCGTCTTTTAAGGGCAAACCCACTGAGCAGTTGTTTTTTTTTCAAATGAAAAAACAGACATTTCCACACGTTAAAATTCCTTTCGGGAGAAGTAGCCATGTTCAAGTCACAACTACAGTGTCACAGCTGGGAACCCACAACCCTCTGGTCTGGAGTCCCAAGCACTAAGCCCCCCTGCTGTCCAAAAGGTAGAAAACAGGACAAGAAGCAGCACAGAACCAAACTGGCCATTTAATAAGGGTTTTGTAATTAGACTTAAGTTGCATGAAATACTGTAATTCACGGCCACAATGAGAAGAAGTTCTTCAAGAAATAATAAGCCAGAGACTGGCTACGTTTGGAACAACACTCCCATCTAATTCAGGGCTAAATGATGCTTCCATAAAATCGCCAAGTTTCAGGAAAAGAGGACAAGGAGGCCAAAACTTGCCGCTCTATAATTAAAAATAATTAATAAAAAAAAATGAATAAGTGAGAGTGCTTGCTGGGATAGACTCTGGCTTCCCCACAACCACACACTGGAGCAAGTGGTGGGAACACACTGGATGGATGGGCTGATAAATTCAGGAGTGCAAGCAAATCACTTGCGATTCCCAGCGGAAGGGAACCGCATTCAGCGCCGATATGATGGCTACTGTGGGTCGCGGAGCCCGGCGGGACGAGTCAGCGGAGCGGGCATCGCGGGTCCTTAACCTCCTCCCTCTCAGCTGCCGGGCCTGCCCAAGTCCAGCAGCGAGAAACGCCGGAGCGTCCCCAGGAGCTGCTGCTCCTTGTGCATCGCCGCGGCCCGAACAATGAAGCCTTATGCCTCTCGCGGTGGCCCCGCGAGCCGCACGCCAGCCACCCAGCCAGAGCTCCCTGCCAGGCATTCCAGGGAAAACACGAGATCGCCTCTGGGAAAGGAACGGCACAAGCGGGCTCTCCCAGAATGCACAGCTTTCAATTCCTCCCCTTCACCCACGAGTCCCTGAAGGTGGCTCGTGCCTCTCGGAAATGTATTTCCATTGGCTCTCTGTGATCTCTCTCATGTGGGCCGTTTCGCCGCTGATGTCCAAAGAAGTCCAAAGCCACGATCCAGCGGGCTGCTCTCGCTCATCCGCACCGCCTGAACAGCCCTGCTGTGATGCACACAGGAAGCCCTGGCCCCACAGCTGACGAACTCACAGCCCTGATGGGCACCGACACAGGCCGCCTATTAACGCTTAAATAAAAAAGCTTTTCTATACCGAGGCTCTAATCCCTTTTAACCTCAAGACTTCTGGGTTCTGTTCTTTTCACTTCCCTTCTCGGGGACGTCAGACGCTTGTGTCCGCTCTCATCATTTAAACCACCCGGAGACGGGGAGGATGCGAGCCTGCTTAACCTGTGAAGAAGTGTCGTGGTGCAGTTCATTTCAATGAGGCTCGAAATCTCCCGTTCTAATCAGCGATACCTGACCAAATGCTCACAATAAACACGGGCCATGTTTTAGTTCGGGGGGGGTCACAAGTTCCATTTATCAATCACAAAATTCTAAAATAACCAAGTCTGCACAACAATAAGACATTCTCAAACTACAAATGAGCTGAACCATGTTTATACTTTTGAAGATAAATATCAGCGCATTGAGCTGAACTCACCAGTGGTTCGGCCATCACCACCTCGATCTTCTTCTCCGCCTGGACCGCGAACTCGGCGAAGAGGCTCTTGATGACGTACTCTCCAGGCTTGAGCTCGGGGTCGATGGTGATGCAGGACATGATGGCGCCCCTCTTCGCCCACAGGGGGGTGTATCCTGGAGGAACTCGGCGTCTACTCACACTGCTCACTGGGGCCGAGGCTGCAACAGAGGCACAAGAGGGGCACAGCGTCAGAGCCAGGCGCAGGAAAAGATCAACGAGCATTGTCCACGGCAGAAGCAGCAAAAACTACTGGGTAGCAATGCAAATTCAAGATGAACACGTTCTAGAAGGGAGTTCAGCCCATCCTGTTCCAGTTAATTGATCCCAGATCCCATTCAACTGGTTCCTGAAAGAAAACAGGGTATCAGCTTCAAGGACATGGCTAGGTAGCCTGTTCCAGACTCCCATCACTATCCGAGTACAGAAG